AAAGCTACTTGAGGTAGACATAACATTTGTACTGTGGACTACATCTAGTCTAGACAATAGATGATTGATAATACTAGTTTACTGGCTCAGTGATAAGATACCTTAGACAGGAGAAGATGGATGGTAAGAGTATACTGTGGGATTTACAAAGGAAGTCAAGAAAATCTTTCAACACAAATTTCTATTTGCACACAAAGCTGATGAGCTTGATACCCAAGAAGGCCTATGTGAGCAAATACATTGCAATAAACGTTCTTGGGGACTGTTTTGGGTTGAATTTTGTCCACCAAAAAAGATATGTCCAAGTCTTAACCCTCAGAACCTGAGAGTGTGACCTTCTTTGGAAAGAGGGTCTTTGCAAATGTCATCAAGTGAAGATGAGATTAATCTAGATGAGGGTGAGTCCTAATCCAATGACTGATGTTCTTATAAAAAAGAGGGAAATTTGGCCATGGACACACAGAGAGAATGCATGTGAAGACAGAGGCAGAGACCGGAGTGATGCACCTACAAGCCAAGGAGCACCAAGAATTGCTGGCAATTACCAAAAGCTAGAAGAGACAAGGAAGAGCTCTAAGAATCCCCCCCTAGAGCTTTTAGAGACAGAGCGACTTGGCTGATATCTTGATTTCAGACGTCTAGCCTCAAGAACTGTGAGAGAATTGATTTCTATAGTAGTAAGCCACCCAGTTTGTGGTACTTGTTACAGAAGCCCTAGGAAAGTAATACGATCTAGCAAACAGTTGGCTGGGCTGGGCTAAAGTGAAGAGACTGAAATCACTCACATGGATATGACAAGGCAAGTTCCGTGGGCTGGTGCTATGATGAGGCTATCCTGCACAGTGTGGCCTTTCATCTATGTTACTCCATTCCCATACTTCAGAGATTGCCCGTCTTGCTTGGAGTCAAGTGAGAGGTTGGGAAGAGGAGAAACATTGGAGTGAGACACACCTGGATAGGAATCCTCAGTCTGCTACTTACTAGTTGTGAAGTATCCTGTGGATCACAAACACCTGGGCTCTCAGTGGCCTCACCTGGAGAACACAGCCTTCCTCAGGGGGTTGTGGTGAGGGCCACTGCAGTTACCTGCCACAGCTCGTCGGGGTTGGTTTCTTTGCCTCTGCTTTATTACATCTTTGAGCCAAGTTCAGAGGTGGAAAGGAAACTGACATTTTAAACACCTCCCGTGTGAGAAAGGAACCCTTCATTCATTAAACACTGGTGCTGCGAGGGCTTTCAAGCCAATTCCCTCATTTAAAGAGGAGAACACTGTCACGGTGTAGATTTTCCACATTCCCCACTACATTGGGCACCTGGGAGACCTTTAAATGAATGTCTGCTGATGGATGAATGGACTTGGAAAGGCCTCTAAAGAAAGCAGACTTAGTCTTATGGGGAGAATGAAGTCATATTTGACACCATTTAATGGGCTTTGCCCACCTCACTACTTTGCCCAGACTGGGATCTCACTGTCCTATTCCTGGCTCAATATCTTTCAAAGAATGGTTAGGCCCCCTTCCCTGAGAGACCATCAGGGGGTCCAAAGTCTGAGTTTAAATTAAAGTTACTCAAAACAGGTGCTCAGGATTCATAAAGTGTTTTCAGCTGTATAATTGATTCTACATTATAAAACCAAACGAGCCATTTTTTAAAAAGAATATTTAACCCAAAGTCAACTCTAGCTTAGTGCAGATGGAAAATATAGTCCTTATTGTAAAGAGAAAAGATGCAAGAAAACAAAATAAAGAGTAGCTATAACAATTCCACTTTTTACCCAAAAGAAATAACTTACATTCCCACCCAAGCTACTGCCTTTTTCACTTACCCCACTTTATCGCTCTCCATAGCACTTATTACCATCTGAAATAGTATATTTTTTCATTTATTCAATTGAACCTATCTCCACTCACTAAAATATATCACAATGAGTCAGACCTCTTTTGTTTACTGGTGCTTAGAAGTGATTCGTTTTGTTTATAGATGCCCAGTGCCTAGAACAGTTACTGCTGCATAATTGATTCATAATGCAATTTGCATATTTGTATTATTTGTTGAATAAATGGATGAATGGATTAGTGAATAAGTTGGGGCAGGGAGAGGAACAGTCACATGATATGGAGAAGAAGGTAGAATATTAAGTGGCCTTTTTCCTGTAAAATTTGCCCCTAAATCCACCAGCCCTGTGTCAACTAACCATTAAGATCATCTTTCTCTCAGTTCTCTCCTCTGAATCCATTATTACCAAGCAAGGTTTGATTTAAATGTTTTAACGTGCTTTTTCCTACAGATGGGAATACAGAGTTCACAAGTTTGGTTCATTTGGTATGGTATTTTTACTATAAATTAATAGCTTGGCATTCATTTTCTAAATTGGTTCACATCTCAAAAGAATTCTGAGTAACAGAACAACAACCAGCATGGAAACTTGTGGTGAAGACAGGTGAGAATGGCACACAGGAGATTTGGGCTCTAGATCTCACTCTGCGTTAACTCACCTGTGTGGCCTTTGAAAAACCCCTTCTCTGGGGTTTGGTTTCACCATAAAGAAATTGACCTTGATAACTTCTGAGTCTCTTCCATCTTTCAAAGTTAGGATTCTATAAAACTTAATAGTAAGTTCTTTTGCGTATTTTGACTTCATAAGAGATGTCATTAGCTTGTATTGGATGTCACAGATATTGGCAATCTTGTGAGGTTCATTTGGGTCATGGGGTCGGCACTTTTTCTGGGGTCAGTGATTATTGCCATAAGGAGACAGACGGTGGCCACATTAAAAATCTAAAACGCCAGAGGAGCCAATCCCTAGGGAAACTGGAGATCACACAGCAACTCTTTTCACATTTAAAATTGTACAGGTGTGTGGGTGTGGAGAGGTTGCAGGAGGTACAAGAGGAAAGGAAAGCTGAGGCAGAGGCTAGAGGATGTGTAGGTGACAGTAAGGCAGGTGCAGAGAGCCCAGGTTTGGAGAGTCACTCATTTTCCCATGAGGGCCTGGCACACACCTAATCTTGACAAATGAGAATATGCCCGTGAACTCTGAGTAGAAACATGAAAGTATTTCCATTATGTGCCATGTCACTGTGGGGGAGGGCAAGAGCTGCATGTCCCATACATTTATTTGCTTTAGAGGTTTTAGTTACCCATTTGCCAGGACTGCCCAAGCCTGCTCTCTCTGTAACCCTTCCAGTGTTTACTATTTGGCCTTCCTTGAGATCCTAATTGTCTGTTTGTAATACAGTTATTGGGCTAGCTCTGTATACCTTCAGATCAGACATCTCACCTGAGTGCTAGTCTTATATGACTGTCTACCTACATATTAGCATTATTTAGAGATCATTACATTAAATTTAATATGTCAAAAACAAACTTAAAACGAGTCCACTTCCTAATTTTCTCTGCTTCAGTCATTGGCATCACTGACGTCATTCCGAGACTTCAATTTGAAAGGCTTTTCTTCACCCTTTACAACTCTCCATCAATAATCTTCACGACCCCAATAAACAACAATGGTAACAAACCAATCTACCCACTGCTCAATAAATGTTCGCTATTCTATTATTTATATTCGGATCTGAAATAATCTGCTTAATCTCCCAGGGTTGTTGAGGTTTCTCTCATTCTTCTCTCACAGAATGGCTTACCATTCACCTCCTTTCTCTCCTCTCCACCTTAATCAGTGTTCTCATTCCCTCATACCTAAACTCTCAGAGTATCTTTCTTACTGCCCTCCAAGTCTCTAATTTTTCCCTGCTTCAATCCATGTCAAATAAATCAACCGACTGGTCTTTTAAAAATTACTTTCAGCAAGTCATGCCCTACAAACCTAGGAGGATTCGCATTTACCAGTCAAAGTATTTACAATCTCCTCATTCGGCATTTAAGAGCTTCGGTCAACTTCGGTCTCTCAAGCTACTCGTGATCTCTATTTGTCTTTATTCAACTTATACTTGTTTGAGAACTACCCCAGCCCCTCCCTCAGTCCCCCACTATTCTCCAGCATTCCCCTTCCTTTTCCATAAGGCCCAGCCTGTGTGATACTCTCCTGCAGCCACCACAGTGACTTTGCTCCTATTCTTGGCCTACCAGGAATTTCCTCCTTTCTGCCAACTCGGATTTGACATTTCTTCCAAGATTCATCTTCTCCTGAGGGTTCCCCATGTGAATGAATCCCAGATCACATAATCGTTCCTTTTTTCTGAATTCCCTCAGCATTCTCATATTAGCTGTCTATTGCTAAGTATGATTATCTTAGTATTTCGCATGTATTCATTGATCTCCCTCATTGAAATTTGAGCTCCGAAAGGGCACCGGCCAAATCTTCATTTGCCCAAATCTTGATCGAGCAAGGACAGATGCAAGGCCAGCAAGGACCTTGATTTTGCCCATAGCTCATGGACAAGGCCTAGTTGCTGCAGCGTAGGCAGTAAAGGCAATAAATGTGCACTGGAGAGCTAAGACTAGCTCCTAGCACAAGGTTAGAGACTCAGACATGTTTTGAGAAGTGTTTGCTAAATGCTGAAATAAATTTTTAAAGAATAATTCAAGCCCCTTACACACCATGTGTTTCTATAGCACAGAAATCTTTACTGTATTCATCCAAAATACAATGGCCAGTATAACCTACCAAGTCTCAATCACTGATCAGATTTGAAGTCCTTGACTCTTTTTGGCCAGAATACTAGGTCCAGTGGGGACAAAGTGGTGCCATCAGCTGCCTCTATCAGAACTTGCCTCTACACCTGCCAAGTACCCACAGGTTCATGTCCTACAAGTTAGCACCAGTTCATGTCCTTGAACCAAAGGCTGCCTGACTCCAGTACAAGTCATATAGTTGTAGGGACATTTGTAAACCCAGCTCCCCACCCCTTGGTCCAGTTGAATCATGTCCTGTCCAAACACAGAACCCAGGCAGGTAACCTTAGACCCCTTGCAGAAAGCAGAGAAGATGCCCCCTTCCACAGAAGTTCTTAGAAAGAGTGCAGAGAGGAAAATGGACTTACCCTCACACAGTAGTTCATGCCCATCCCCAACAGGTGCTGCAGAAAGTGCCTGTCCTGCCTGCTCCTAAGGGGTGGCTCCCCAGGGCCAGGAAGCGGGCACGAATCAGGGGTTAGGGCGGTTGCCCTGTGGCTCACCAGGTCCGGCTGCGGTGGAGGTGCAGTCCCAGACCTACTTAGACTGGTTTCTGGGGAAGAGGGACTGCTGGAACCTGGGTCCCGGCTTTCCTGGAGCTTCAGCCGAGGCACCTCTTTGGTACCCAGGCAAAAGTTTTTCAGACTCAGCAACGTGGCCGGGTTGGCCAGCTTCATGCTCGCCATGCGGGGGATCAAGGTGCACAGTGGGGTGGGGCTCTCCTGCGACGGCAAGGCGGCATCTTCAGCCGGCAGGTGAGGTGCCAGGGCGGGGTGGGGAGGCTGCGGTGAGCCCTTGTTCCCGACCGAGCCTCCGGAGCTACCTTCGTCCAAGGACGTGATCGACTCGTTCCGAAAGCGGCTGTACTTGGCCCTGTGCAGCATCCCGGGGTGCCCGAAGAGTCCTACATACAGCACGAGTCCTGCCAGGCTGTCCTGGCTGCGTTCTCGCATAGCCTTGGCAGTGCTGAAACAGGATACTGTTGCATAAATCGCCTCGTCGTCTGGTAGATAAACGGTGCAGACATCAAACGCCTCAACGCCCGATGCAACTCGCAGCAGCCACCTCTCCAACTCTGCTCTCGAGCTCGCCCACCTCGGCTCCCGGCCCCTTAAGGGTGACAGCCCAGCGGGGAAACGCCTCCCCTGCTCTGATTTCAGTCCCTCCCTGGCCCAGGCAGAGGCACCAGTGTTCTCGCCTTGGAATCCTTGTCGGGAGAGCCTAGACCCAGGCTCCCGGCGGCGGTGGTCGCTCACGGCCAACTCTTAGGCACAGAACCCGGGCGAGCGCCGGCCAGGGGGCCCCGACCCATCACTAGCCTTGCAGGAGCCTAGTAGAAATATTTAGCACCCCACTCCCACCCTTACCCCAGCGTTCTGTTCTGCACACAGGAACTTTCGAACCTGCTCCCTTCGGCTCCCACAGGGCGGGGCAAATGACTGGCCTATTAACCCTTTATTTGTTCCAGTGATTGTTCATTTAAAAAGAAAAAAAAAAATTGTATCTATGAGCCAAAGGCCCTTCTGCCTGGGTTCGTTGATTCCGAAGGCTGCCCTCTCTTGGAAGATCTTGTCTTGCATCGTTCTGGGCCACCAGCCAGGAGTACTACTGACGGGCGCTGCTCCGCATTGTTTCACTGACTTGTGATGGGTCCGTGTTCCTCAGATCCCCTCCCAGCCTGCCTACCCTCGCTCAGAGCTTCCCTCCCTCCTGGACTCCTCTCGGAGCTTTTTTCAGAAGCCCATTTGCAGCCGAAAGCTGAGATGTGCAGGATGATACGCAGCGTGTTGAAATTTTTATGAATGAACTTTGCCGAATGAATTTCTCTCTGTGTGTGCAAGCTAATAAATCTGTGAATGAAGCTGAGAATAGCTGTAATTGACTGACGGTCTCAGAGGTGCTTGGTTTTTATCCAATCAGGAGGCAGCTTGATGACTCATAGACCATAAATATACTAAACTAGTAGCCGAGAGAAATAAAGCTAGCGGGAGAGGAGGGACATATTTTATTTTGTGGTATCTGATGAATGAGTTAAAAGGAAAGGCAATCTTTACTACAGATCATTAGCTGGGGAGCAGCAGGTTAAAAGATCTATTTTCTTTCTTGTTGAGATGGCCGGGAGGGCAGAGCAGAGGAGCTAAAAATTAGACCCATTGTTCCAGGGATATTAGGACATATGGTTCACAACTCCTGTGGGAAGCCATGATGCATTTTTCTTAGAAACATAGTTCTTTTTTTATTGATTGTTGGTTCCATCTTCCGTCTGGTGCAACTTCCTGTACCTATCAAATGTATCCTGAAGACATGAGGACAACTGCAAAGGCTTAGCACACAGGAAGCCAAAACCAGAGCTGGGAAAAGAAAATGCAGGTTCTTCAGGAATGGAGAAGAGGAAACTGCTGAAACACCGGGGGTGTGGGGTGTCAGGGTAGGGTGGAAATCACACATAGGAAGAGATGAAGAACTCTGAGAAAAGACTGCACTACTCCGTGGTTCAAGGCTTTGTCATCTGAAATTGTTCGTTAATTAAAAAATTAAGACAAACTGGCAACCAAAGGAATCAAGGGTGCCACCTTCATTATCTTATTGACCCTAACGCTGCATTAGGCTCATGTATATTGATGACTTTGGGAGCCTGAGCTCCCTTGGGATCCAAACACAGGCTCTGAATTAAATGGTTGAGAGTGACCAGTGAAAGCAGCATCCTCCTCTCAAGCTCCCTGCTCCCCCAGGGAGATAACGCACCTATCTGCATCCCTTCTGCCAAGGCTGTTCAGACGTTTCTTTACCTGGAAAGGCTTTTCTGCATCTTCATAAATCTTCCCTTCAACCCTAGCTGACCTCCTTTTCCCTCCCCTACATCTCCTCCTGGCAAAACTGAGGGAAGTAGCTAAATCAGTTGGACCCCACATCCCTAGGGCTGAGGAGACAGGCTCTGGACAAGATTATTTACCTCTTATTCCTCCTCATTCCTCATCTGCTTTCTTCCTCTCATTTTTCTTGCCTTCCCCTGGGTCCCTGCCTTGCTTCTGCTATGCTGTGATGACCTCATCACATGCTTCCTTTAGAAAGTTACTTTACCTCTCCGTGGTTGAATGTCCTCATAGGTCGGCAGCAGCCACCTAATGGGGGTGTTATGAGGGCTTATGAATAATCCTCATCCCTGTAAAGTCTTGGCCCAATGCTCCACACAGTGCCTATCTCACTAAGTACCTGTGGGCAGTATGAAAAAATGGCCATTGGAAACAGAGCTGCCTCCCCCTAAGATCATACTCTTACCCCTCACACTGCAGAGTTTATATCATTCTAAGCAACTAAAAAGAAAAATTAGTACAAAGTGGGAGAAGCCAAGAAAGCCAACATTGTCCAAAGAAAACAGTTTTTTAAATCAGCTGGGCCTGGAGAAGGCTGGAAAGGACAGGGGCCTGCCTGGCTGATAGGAATCCTCACAGAGGTCTCGTGATTGCAGGATGGGGTGTCCAGGGGAGCCAGCTCATCTAGGTAGGCACCGTGCTGGCCAGACTCCAGGAGCTCAGACCAGTCTACATTCCTCAGAAAGCCTGAGTCCTGGGAGGGTTGGGGGTTGCGAAGTGGGACTAGGTAAGGTAAGAAAGCAGTCATGGCCATTGTGGGCTCTTTCTCTTCTGAAAGCCTGGAGACTTCGGCTCTCCTGGGTAGCTCTGCCACAGCGTTTTATGAGGATGAAAGAGATCAGATCCCCAACTGGGAAGTGCACAATAGCCTCTAGGCTGAGCCTGCCCAGCTGGACCATTCTCTCAGTCCTAACAGCCCAAGAGAAGGCTCATTGAATTGCTTTTCATTCTAGGTAGATGGCTGGGCAAGGCAGATGGTTTGCTTTTTTCAAGGCATTAGAACATCCTTTTCAATTAGTAATGATTAAAACAATATTAATAAGAGCTACTATCTGTGGAACACCTGACAGTTTACCTACATTCTGGTTCAATTATTATAACAAATTGTGGAGGCTGGGATTGTGTTCCTCACTGCCTTACAGATATGAAAATGAGGCTGAGAGAAAGGGCAGTGACTTGTTCAAGGTGCTCCAGCTGTTGAACAATGATCCTGGGATCCCTCTGGGCCTGACTGCAAAGCCTGTGCTGGCAGCCACTGTACTCTGCCGCCTCCCAGGGACCAGAGCGCTCAAATCTAGTCTCCAGGCCTATGATGGCTACAGGGCATCCTACTGCTTCCTAAAGCTCTGAGAAATGGCTGGGCAGGAAGAAGAGCTGGGGATCTGGGGAGGTTCTAGGGTTGTTGGGAAGCCTACCCCTGAGCTGGCCCTCACAGATCAATGAGATCAGGCTGGCAGAATATTTTCCTATCTATGGTTTTCCTGTATCTACCCCTCCAAAATCCCCAGGGAAAGTGTATTTAGCCCAAAGATCATTTATCAGAAGATAATACTAGACTAGATGTCTCAGGAAACCTTGATAACTGGGCCACTACCGACAAGCAGTATGCACTCACAGCAAAATGTAATTGGATGAACATTTATCTGGGAATTACAGAACCAGCTGTGGGATTTTGAGTAAGTTACTTAACCTCTCTGAGACTCAGGTTTTGTATATGTAAAATGTGCACAATAATAATCAATAATATCTGCTGAGCACTAACTCTAGAGCAGGTCCTGAACTAAGCGCTTCACATTTAAGCCCCCCAGCAAGTCTATATAGCAGGTGCTATCCATCATTTACTGACTTGCCCAAGTCACATAACCAGGGAGTGGTATGTGTGGTGTAGAACGAAGCACTGATTCACTCCAAACTATGCCCTTAACCACCGTGATATGATCCAGTGTATATAAACCTGACTCCTACTGTATGCTCAATAAATGTTAGTTCTTGCTCCTTTCTCCTCCTTGGATAGCATACCTATAAAATTCACCCTAAATACCTCACAAGTAAAAACATGAATAATAGATAAGAAAAGCCATTATTGTCATTAAATCATCTGAGAACCATGAACGCCTCATCTTTGCCCTTGGAAAACAGAGTTCTGCTTAGAACCTGGTGGTATGCCTCCTTTACTTTGAGACATCCCCCCTCCAAGGGCACCTGCTAGGAAACAACATGTCAGTTTCTTAAGAGACATCCTGTGCTGGCTGAGCTTCTTGAGTAGAACAGGCAGTTTCAAGGAAGACCTGGGTCAGGCTTTGCCACGCTAGAATTAGCCAGGTCCAGGAGGAGGAGAGAAGAGAACCTGGCAAAAATGCCAGCCCAGCTTTTGAAGATAATCCAGTGTGGAATTTGGGGTAGAGGAAGGTTGTACTAGAGGATATGTGGGAAGAGGAGAGAGAACAAGGCAGAGACATAATAACTCTGGGGGGCTGTAGGCCGATCGCTACTTTGGAACAAAGTGGAGCAGGTGGTATCTGAGTGCTGTAGCACAAGGACTCTTACTCCATCCCTCCACTACAATTTCTATCATACAGCAGACCTACTAGCGAAGGATTTTCACTGAGCAATACCCACAATGCGTCTAACAGCCCATCAGTTGGGAATGAAAACATTGCTGAAGCTCTATTTTGGAGAAAAAATTCCACAAGAAAATATTTATATAAAGTTCTTGGTAGAGACCAAAATATCATTTTCAGGATGGGGAAATGAGATGGTGAAGAAGAGTTGTATCTCCAAGGGTAAGGGCCTAGCCTCCCAAAAATTGAGGCAGGATCATATCCCCCAAAGTTGTCATTGATTCTGGAAATAATCACCTTTTGCTTCCTGAACCCAGTGTTTTCTGTTTTTTCACAGTCTCCAGCCCTATAGATCGACAGTTTTCTGATAGTTGCTGTTGATCTCACACTCCTAGAACTCGAACCAGCTAAAAAAAAATGTACAGGAAAATGGATATTTTCCTATCTGTTGAAAAGAAAATAATGTACCTGGAAAGGCTATGTAAAGACTTAGACAGCATGCAGATGAAAAGTAGATGAATTACTTAGGGTCAGGTTCAGTTGAAAATAAAATAAAAATTAAAAATTACAATGGATTAAATAGAAAGTTTATTACTCTGGAGGTGGGAAATCCAGGGGCAGCGTCAGCTCTTGGCTAGCCCTAAAGTATAGTCCTTCTCCTCATAGCCCAAAATGGCTGATGGAGCTCCAGATATTTCATCTGCACTCCAGGCAGCAAAACGGATGAAAGGACAAAGAATAATATGCTCTCTCTCTTTAAAGTAACATTCTGGATACCCTGCAAATGTTTTAATTTATATTACATTAGCCAGAACTTAATCACATGCTGTACCTAGCTATAAAAGAAGATAAAGTCTTCTTCATCTGAGAATGAAAAAGTCTTTTGTCTGGGTGCATGGTTGCTGCACAAAAAATCACAGTTCTGTTACTGGGGGGAAGAAGATAAAAATAGATATTATCTGCCATGGTAATATTTTTAGAAAACCTTCTACTTTATTAAATTTAAACCTAGCATAGGATTAAAATGTTCTTGGCCAATGTGGTCCAATTTCCCCCTTTTTCATACATGCACACACACATACACACACACACACCCACACACACACCCACGATGCTTATAAATGACCCAAGTGAAAACAGGCACTGTCAGAATAGAAGCTTACCTCTGCATAGCCAGGGGACTGATGGAGTCTCTAGGCCTTGCCTCTGAAAGGTGGTCAGGTGCTTCCAGGGGCCAGCAGCAAGAAGCAACAGAAAGTGCATCCAGGCCATGTCAGATGGCAGGCCAAGTAGTTAATTGGGGCCAGGAATATTTTATAAGGAGTGAGTGGGTGTTAATGCAGTCCCAGTACAATCATCAGGTGTCTGATTTAGGAGCAGGATCTCCACTCTAACTGTGTCTGGCAAGAGAAAAAGGCA